CATCAATAAACGAGATGCCCGCCCCTGATGCTGTGTTTGTGTTTATTAAGATTAGTTACAAAATATTTTATAATCGTTTCAGGGTGATTAGAGTATAAACCACGTTATTCCACGCTGAAATCCATGATAACTTCGATGTTGCGTCACGTACGTAGCAAATTACATCATGGGATACTATTCGATCGTCGTCTGGATTTTGGCTTAGAGAGCTCCCTCATCCACGGCTTCTGTTTTCTCTTAGCAAAAAGAAGATTAAAAAGATATCGAGACTAATATTTTATCCCATAAAAGTATTGTCAAATACTTGTGGAAAATAGTTCAGTTCGTGGCAAGTATGACGCGGCGTTTTGTCTCGGCCAAGACCCTTCAGAGAGTTCTAGAGTTTCACAACAAACTCGTTGGGCATCGCGCTCAATTCAAGTCGACCCGTTGAAAAATCCAACTGAAGATGTTAGGGCTATAGCATCTTGTAAGATTTCATCCCCAAATAAAATTTTGCTTCGTGTGACTCTAGACGTTAAAATAAACAATTAACTTTATCTCCGTCTACTGATTTTCCATACAAATCGAAAGACAACCGGAAATTGGTCTACGTTCACATGCTATAACCCAAAGGAAATCCATGTTGATGCGTGGAAATCTTTCATTTTTTTCCCATAAAAATCTCCTTTTGCGTCAAAATTTCCCACGTTCATTGCATCCTGCCCGATTGTGTCGCTTATTACATATAAAAGCGACAAAACACAGTAAAGTTCACGTCCGCAATCTCAAACCTCTGCCACCAAGCCTCCACGTCACGCGTTTCACACTTTTGTGGCGAGCAAGTGAAGAGCGCGAGCTAAGGAACTTGGTACCAGGCAGTCTGGCACCTCGCACGATTTTTTTTTTTCTCTAAACTGAATTATAAAATGTACAAATGTGGGGCTTGAGGGTTAGATTGCCCACAAATAATTATAAACAAATAACTCAGTGTCACCCAAACCGCAAAATGGAGGTTAATCCCAAGCAAATCCGAGGGGAACTAAGCGCAAGCAAACCGGAGACGAGTGTTAATCATGGTTCAGGTCCTTGTTATGTATAGTTCTCCACTGAGGGCAGATTACTTATACTGTTAGGTGACTGCCATTAAAATCACTTAATTCCTGTATCATGAAAATAAACTTTTTGAGACTGCAAAAGTGTATCTTCAATTACAATTTATGTCAAATTTGCTTTTTATCCTTGGTCTCAAGTACTCAAGGACTTGCCAACAAAACTCAAGGACTGCTTATAAAAATTCAAGGGCTGTTCAAGTAGAAAACTACAAACTTACAAGACTTTTCAACGACAAAATTTCAAGGACTCGACAAGGATTTGAAGGCAATTTTTCAAGGCCTCCTCAAGGTCTACGCGAACCGCGTGAAATCAAAATGGCGGACCGCGGGCTCAGGCTCTGTCGCTTCTGGCGTTTTCGGCTAAGAATACTAACAACAGCACCAGTTACAATATTGCAGGCTTCTTTTTATTCCTTGGTGATTCGTAATAGTGGTATCCAATATAAATACTGCAAACGTCGCATTTCCATATAACTTTGGACGGTCTCTACACTAAAAAAAGGTCACAATTATTTTTAAATCTGAAATTTCACTTCGTATAAAGTTCGCCTGTGTTGAAAGAGCGATGGAGGATGGGCAAAACCATGGCGGTATTGCGGCTCGGTGGTGTAAAAGCCTGGCTTTTCCACTTGCCTTGAAAAAATAAACGTAAGTGGCTTATTATTTAGTAACGATAAAACTCTCTAACACGACGAGCACACCGCGACACTGTATGACTATAATTACAACTACTACAACAATCTTCAACGTTATCCGCCAGCAGACAAAATGCAAACCAGCCCGCCATGTTGTTCGGCCCACAACACATACATGAAAACGACATAAAAGCTTTCTAGGAAGTGAAAAGGAAAAAAAAACAAAAACGCCACCATGGCTGTCTGCTTGCTTTTGTCTTTTGTTTTCCTTGGGAATAATTTATGCTACTTCTCTCAACGTCGCACCATACTACTTGTATTTCCCGCCACGACCCCCGCTGTCCCGACGCCCGCCCGATCGCCCGCTAGATCCAGACCCTGCGTTTGCATTGCCAGTATTCGCTCCAAATCCTCCGCGGTTACCCGCCCGAGATCCTCCAGCGCCTCCTCGGCCAGCTTGTCCACCGCCTCCACTGCCACCCCCACGCGCGTTTCCACGCGCACCTCCGCCACCACCACCACCTCGACGATTTCCACCTCCACCGCGGCCGACTGCTCCGCTAGGCTTCTTCTCTTCAATGTTGATTTCATGGTCACCAATTTTGATTGGCTTAAAATAAAATGAATAGTAGTGGACTTAAATACAGAAAATTGTCGTGTAAAACTTTGATGTTCGTTGGTTTTACCATTCTTCCACTCCCTCTACCACTATATTTTGACATAAAGGAAATCTCAGTAAGTCCTTGTTTTCTTATCTTAGGAGTCCCTTGATACGGGCAACACAGCGTGCAAAAAGAAGTCTTGTAAATTTTCTAATCGGACTAGTGATTTCCGTCAGAAAATTTTTCAGGAAAATCACGTGACAGAAGTACCGTAAGAGATGAACTTTTCGGGCGCTAGTGAGAATAGTTTTGGGACTAGTAAATCATAGTTCTCCCGAAAATGTGTTTTTTTTCTTTGCACCGTGGCAGCTTTGTATTGCCCATGGATAACAGTGATCAATCATCTAGCTTCTCCTCACAATAGCAATACACTGTCAAGCAGAAAGGTGGCGAGAATATGGAAAATCATCAACTATAGGATACATTTACAAGATGCTTTTGGACTGTCTTCAGCCCTCTACTAATTGGGGACACTTTCAGCTTAAGCTTAGCAAGGTATACTTCCGCGATTGTTCAATTATCGCTCATATTTTTGTTTTCAGGATTTAAATATTTATACTCACTCTGTTGTTTAGAATTTGTTCCACTGGGTCAGAGCTGTTAAAGATCACAAATCCAAAGTTCTGATGAAAACCAAAAAAAGAAAAAAAGAAAAAGAATTTTAAAGGTAATGTCATCAAAAGGAAGTTACATCTGTGCAAACAGTTGCTTCATGCTTCAGAAACTAAGACACATGTTGATAAATGCAAGTCATGGTGTCATAGGCCTGCCAGTACGGCCACAAAAGAGCTCCTGACCTTTAACAGACTGACCATATTCATATTCTCGCTTTTGGACTGGAACTAGCTTGCAACTGAGGCTAATGCAGAGAGTCTTTTCAAATGCAAATGGTATTGATCTCTTCTCAACCCTTTGAATACCAACTACGCCTATATGCGTAATTAATGGTCGTGCTACCACTTGTCACGTCATCAATTTAAATGTCATCAGATATTCTTGATAAGCAGATAGTAGTGCTAGGCTAGCCCTTTCCAATGGTCAGGTTTAGATATCGACGACATTCCGACGTCGCAAATCGAAAAACAACGTTATCAGTTTTGGTGCAAAAACGGTGGTAAAATGGTCCACAAC